AAACCCTACGCCAAGTGGAAGAAACCAGAAGCAAAAGGCATGATTCGACTTAGGTGAGGTTCCCAGAATAGTCAAATTCATAGAGACAGAAAAATAGGATAGAGGTTACCAGGGATTAGGGGAATGGGAGAATGGGGAGCTGTGATTCGATGGTACAGAGATTCAGTTTGGGGTGACAGAGCGCTCTAGAGATGGCTGCACAACAATAAATGGGGCATTTTATGTTATATACATTTTTGTATGTATTTTACCACAATTAAAAAAAACTATGGAAAGATGTTAATGGTAGCATTTAGGTGGTGGGTACAAGGATGTATTCACTGTAAAATCTCTGTCTTGGCTGCACGGTTAAATTTTTCTGTAATAAAGTGTTAGGGAAAAATCCTGGGGAGTTTTTCTGGGCAACACCTCTCTGCCTTACTAAATACCTTTTGGAATTAATCAACCAATCAAGTTTTATTAAAAGCATCTGTCATTTAGCCAAAACACCACTTGAGGATGCTTATCCTCTGAGGTCTCTTTCAGGTTTTTATAAGACAAAGTCTGAAAATGGAAAGCCAAAGTAATCCTCTGTGCGTCAGTTTTCTAGTTGACAGTCCTGAACAAACACGGATTATCCAAAGTTATCCTAAATTATATGTAGGCTGATGTGCACACATCACTGCCAACTTGTTTGTGCCAAGTCACACTTGGCATTTTTCTGGCAACAAGGCAAAGGCGGAGAACCTGCATCTAGTTAGAAAGAGACGTGACCTGTGGTGGGAGGCCTGAGTTCCCGGCCTTCTGCTGGTAACTGGCTACACGGTCTTGGACTTGACCTGTCTGGGCCTGAGTCTCCACATCTATAAAGGGAAGATGTTAAGCAATATGACTTCTCAAATTTCTTCTGTACTCTAAGCTTTAAGTTGATTAGTAAAAAGTATGCCAGCAATCGACACCTTTTTAAGCTTCAAAATGGTAACCAATACAATTCAATAGCAGCTGACCAGTTCAGTCAGATTAAGATATACGCAAAAATGTTAAACACACACACACACACACACACACACACACACACACACTCCCTGCCTCACACTCACAGAGCTTAAAATGTGGTATGTCCTTCATTTAACAAATATTAATTGAGCACCAATAATGTGCCAGACTCTAGTAACACTAGCAATTCAACAGTTTTACATGTCAGATAGATTCCCCTCATAAAGTTTACAAATAGTGGTAGGAAAACAAACAAACTCAAATAAATACTATGCAGAGAATTAAAACAGGGGAATTTGGAAGAGTGACTGGGTGGCTGCTTGAGACCAAGTGGTCTGAGACGGCTTCTTAGAGGAAGTGACATTTGAATATGCCAACGGCAAGAAGGGAGTGTGGCCAGTGGAAATTCTTTGGGGCCAGAAATCAGGGGAATGCTATTAGGTGAAGGGAATAGATAGAAAAAGGCCCAAGGGCAGGAAATAAGCTTGGCATGCAGGAGGAAACAAAGAAGTGGCATGGGGGGTGGGGCGGGGAGGAGGGCAGGAGACAGCACGGCGGTCAGACAGGATTTCACCCTGATCGGGACTTCACTCTGAGACCACATCACCAGTGAACCGCAGTAGGGCAAGCATGGAAATATGGGGACGGTGATGCAATCCAGGTGAGAAACCACAGGGGCTAAGACGACAGAGGTCATGGCTCGCTGATCAAACATGCAACAGAACAGGTGAGCAGCAGTTGTTCTGAATACCCCCTAGACAATGACAAGCTTGTACTCCTGCATATCCACAGTAGCAGTCCTCAGACATTTACTGCATACCAGGCCCAGTTTAAAAAAATGCACACATAATGCGTTAGTTTTAAATAATTTGACTTACGCAAGTGTTGCAAAAGTAGTACAGAGATTCCTGTATACCCAGTTTCGCCCATGTTCACGTCTTACATAACCAAATGAAGACGTCAGCAGTGGCACAGTACCCTTAACTGAACTACAGACCGACTGCGCCAGTTTTCCCATGCGCGTCCTTCCTCTGTTCCAGAAGCCTAATCCAGGGTCCTGTGCTGCACCTGCCCGACATCGCCTCAGCCTCCTCACCCATGATAGTCCCTCGGCCTTTCCTCATCCTTCAGGACCTTGACACTTTTGAAGAGCGCTGGTCAGTTATTTTGTAGAAGGCCCCTCAATTTGGATTTTTCTGATGTTGCCTCATAGTTTAGTGGAGGTTACACACTTACGGCAAGAACACTGCACAAGTGATGCACTCTTCCCAGCGAGTCACATCAGGGGCACAGGGGTATGTCTCATTACTAGTGATGCTACCCTTGATCAGTTGGATAGGGTGGTGTCTGCACTGGTGGTTTTTCCATTGTAAAGTTACTATATTTTTCTCTGTAATTAATAAATTTGTGGGGGAGATAGTTTGAAACTACAAATATCCTGGTTTTACCTTAAAATTCAACCACTAATTTTTCTACTTTGTTCTTCTGTATGTATTAATTGGAATGCTTCTGTTAAAAAGAGCTGTCCCATTACTACCACTTGTCACTGCCACTTGTTTACTTAGTCCTTTATTTATATCAGAACGGACTCTTGCATATTTGTTTTACTCTATGGGTAATGCTCCAATATTTATTTATTACATTGCTCAAATTGTTTCAGCCTTGGCCATTGTGAGTTCTGCTGGCTAGCACCTGTGTCTTATAGACTACCCTTCTCTGTGCACTTCCTTACTCTCTGGCACCAAGATGTATTGGGCCCACCCTGTATTTTGGGTTTCCCAGTCCTGGAATGAGTAACTTCTCTAGGGAGTCCTGGTTCCTTTCCCTGGAGAATGGTGTTGAGAAACTAGTGTATACGGGCGCCAGGTGGGCTCAGGGATACTGGGTATCACTACTTCTAGGCCTTCTCAGTGGAAAAGCTTTGGAATATACCTGTGATTGTCAAGGGGTTGGAAACTGACTGGGCGAGGAAATGAACTCCAAAGCAGTAGCCTAAGGGAATTTTTGGGGTGACGGAACTGTTGTGTAGTATGTGTGTCTGTGAAAATGTACAGAACTGCATACCAAGACAGAGTGAATCTTACTGTATTTAAATTAAAAAAAAAAACCAAAAAAACAAAAACCCAACAAAAGCAGTCAGGATGTAGGGGGAACCCAAAATGGAATACAAACTGACAAATGAACCTAACTACCACAAATGAATAAAATCACCACGCTGAAAGGAGGGGAGGAAGAAGAGAACTAATCAAAGTTTTGGAAAATAGTATTTTGACTGGATACTGGGAGGCTAAAGGCAAAGAAAAGCAGAGCAGCCTACAGGAATATGGATCAGAGATTCTGAAGCTACCTTATGTGTATCCTGGGGTCGCATGAGTAAGTAAACACATTATAGATAACGAGAGCCAGGTTTCTCACAGTTGGAGTAAAAAATCAGAAATCAGGGGTGTGGCTAGAATGATCCTCGTGGTATTGAACTGGAATCACACATATCATTAGGAATTCATGGTTAAACAATTGCGTGTGTAAAAATATATATACACATAAAAATACAGAAACAGATGTATGTGTATGCATGAGTCAGTACACACATTTCCAGGCCTATTTTGGGTATTTTACATTTGTTAACTCACTGAATCTTTATGCCAACATTATGAGAGAAACAGTGCTATTTTCCCTATTTTACAGGTGAGAAAACTGGAAGTAAAAGCCATTGGCCCAGGCCACAGAGCGAGAGCTGGGAGAACACCGGCAGGCTGGTCCCAAAGCCCGAGGTCTTCACCAGCGCACTCTGCCGCCTCTGACAAAGCGAAGGGACAGCGTCTACACAGGACCGTCCTCCCTCAAAAAACCACCACCACAAGGAGCTAAAAGTAAAGAGGCAGGAAACTGGGAGGAGCAGGGTAGCCGTTTGAGACAGGACCTAATAAACCTAATTAGGTTTGAGAAGTTTGGCCCCTGAGGTCAGAGCTGCAAAGTTTTTAACAACCATGGTGGTGAAATGAGGCAGATGGAGGAAACGCTGCAGACGCACGGGGTCTTCTGTTTTCGTTAAGAGAGCGGAGATCACTTCTTCCCTCCTAATGACAACTACTCCTCTCATGCCGACCCCAGAAAGGACTTGTGAGCCAAGTACACTTCATCCTCCAGGGAATAATGCCATGTAACAATCGAATATGTAAATCACTGCCGATAACAACACCAACTACACTGAACTCCTGCTATGAGCCAAGTATGTCTCGCAACCTTTTACAGTAATGGACTGACTCACTGACTTGTCATGACCACCCTGTGAGACAGAGAAGTGTTTTTCTCTCTGAGACATGGGAAAATAGAGGCACAAAAAAGCTACGGAAATTGCTGCAGAAGTAGATGGTAAAGCCACTCATGAAAGTAATGCTTTCAATTCCAAGTATGTGACAAATTCAAAAAAATCAGCAAGTAATATTAATAAAGCATTATGCCATAAAACGAAAGTTACAAGTATTATAAATGTTGTGCCATTCACTTTAAACCCACCCATGTGTTAAAAGTTGACATAAGTATTGTACCTAAAATGTTTAAAAGAAAAAAGCCTCTGTCTTCCTCAGTCAATACATCTATTTTAGATATCTGGAGGCCCTCCAACAATTTCTAAGACCAATAATCATAAATGATAATTCTCAGATTTGCATTTGCTTCAGATTAAATCTACCTGGCAGCAGTTTTTCTGCCAAGCAACCTGACATTATTTGCAGGTTTTTCTGGTCTGAGTCTTTGGGCAGCAGGCATTTAAGTTTTAAAAAAACAGAACAAAGGAAATGGTACAGTAATTTAGGAATGCTTTAAAATTTTTCTCAGCTGCATTTTCTCTTTGGATTTAAGGTCAGGAAAAGACATAATAGTATAAAATAAGGGAAGATTGCAAAATATGTTTTCTTCAGAATATATAAGCAAAAAGTACACACAGCCAAAATCATTGGAGCAATTTAAATAAAAGGCATAACTACTTCAGAGTTATCATCACATGCTAGTCATAGAACCAATACCTCATGTCCTGGATAAGAGAGACCCTGAGTGTCGGCAACATAACTCCCGAGTCAGATTTTCTTCTTTCTGGTCCAAGGGCAACTATGTAGAAAAATATCAACAAAGTATTAGAAAAATAACAGTAAGGACAAGAAAAAAATCTACACGGTTCACATTCTACAAATACTTTGAAATTACTTTGATACGAACAAATTTCACGAAAAGCAGAAAAGCTCAAATTCTTTCTCCTAAATGTTACTTTATTAATACAGTAAACCAGCTATTTTTTTTTTTGTCTAGTTAATCTGGGGCTGTGTTGTGAAAGTTTAAATGAATCATAAAAGGGCCCACTTAGCAAATAATGCAATGTGTACAAATTCTGGCCGTAAAGGCCAGTCATTTTCTAAAGTTATTCATTCTAGGAGCTCTGGATAATTACATGGAAGCAATGTCTACAAATTAAGCCACTCTGTATGTAAATCATCTCTGGGCTCATGAATTGCAATCACACAACTTCCGTAAACTCTGAGTGTTTAAAAAGGAACCTCAGACTTCGGGCCCTCTGGTCTGGCAAGTTTCTACTCCAATGTTCAAATCCAAATAATAGTATATATATCATGCACAGTGAGTAATCTAAATGGACATTTAGACGTATAATGTCCATGAGCCATCTGCTTATAAAGCCTGAAGAGCTAACATTTATAAAAGGAAAAATGATTCTCTTGTACAGCAATGGCTAAGCAATCAATTATTGGCTAATGTATTAGAGTTGGCAGTGCTGAACCTCACTTTACGGGGATGCTGTGGAATTTTGTGCCCTTTATTTCAATTTTCCCTTTTGTAAATAAAGACTAAGCTACAAAAACAATGATAGCATTAGAATCTAGATGAGGGTTTTGCTGTATATTAAACCTGTACTTTTTTAGTTTTTAAACACATTCTATGCTAAGGGGTTAGATACCAGAACATGTAAATATATTTGAAGCTGTCACTGAGGGAAGACAGAAGGGAACATTCTGGTGTTAATTAGCATTTGCCTGTTTCGGCACTTGGTGACAGAGGCTGGCCTGGTACTTGGCAGGTATAAATGAGTATGATGGGGCTGCCAGGACAAAGACAACGTGGCCAGGCCAATCTAAAGGTAGTTCTTTTGAGGGCCCTCCTTACCAGGTGGGCGATAAATGGGCCATTTGTCATGGCAGTTTTGGGAGGGAGTTTTCAGTGGGTCACTTGAAACACCAGCTGTTCTTGAATGGGTCCTCCATTGTCTGTGGCTCATTCATCATTCTTGTTCCAGAGACTCGCAGGCATGTGCCCTGTTAGTCTGAGACCATCACCACTTACGTGTGCTGATGAAAGCAATCTGCCTCCAGGGAGAAAGGGAAGCACTCGGGAAGCCTCTGTGCACCCGGGGGTCAGAGCGCAGAGGGCCACGGGAGTGGTGAGGAGGAGGCGGAGAAGGGAAGAAAGGGTCATGAAGCGGCACAAAGGAGCTGAAATCACAATCAGCAACTTGGCCAGAGGGAGACAAGATGGCAGGAGTCATGCCTGGGAGCAGAGAACGGGCGAGAACAGTGAGGAGGAGCCGGCCATTCAAAAGGCAGCCACACCCGCCGTAAGGGCGATCACGGCCTGAGCACGTTCTGCGGGCCTCCTCTGGGGCCCTATATTCTGGCCACCCTTTACGATCCATGCTTCTTATACATGCAATGTACTTTTTCATGTCCCCACACATCCTTTAATGTCTCCTGTTTTAGTCCATTTACCACTTCAGCTGAGAGCAGTACAGCTGAAGGTTAAGAACACGGCTTTCTCAAATTGCAGACAACTCAACTGCTTACGGGCGAGGAATTTAATATATGGGTTGTTTCCTCATCTGCAAACTGGGGTCAGTAAGAGAACCTGCCTTATTCAAACAGGGGTAAAGCACTTAGGATAGCGCCTGGAACAAAATAAGTTCTCAATAAATGAAACAAAATGAAATTTAGCTTTAATTTGGTCCCTGTGTGAAATCTTTCCTGAATATTCTCTCTCCCCACAGTGTACTGTTAGATGCCATTCCCTCTCTAACAGAACCTGTAAAACCGAACATCTATCATAAACTTACCAGTTTAACATTTCTGCCAGTCCGATTCAACTATGTGTCTCCTGAGGCTCAGTCATATCCTATTCTCAGAATATCCTGAGGGCCCGGTAGAGGCCCATACAGTGGACATGCTCAACAAATACTCATTGAGGAAGATGAGGCTACTTAGGCCAAATGACAGAGCCTTAAACGACAAGTCAGAAAGTTACAGAAATCCCAGGGAGGGGGCAGGGATTCTGAAAGAAATGATATGCTTGTCAGCGCTGTTTAGTTGGTTAACCGCAGTGACAGTGCGATGGTATGAAAGAAATGAGGAAAATGAGCTAGAAATTATTCTAAAGGCCAGCTTGTGGGTGAACTGAGACAGTGCCAGCCGGTGAGAACCTGGAGGGGAAATATTCAGTGGCGGAAAACACATGACTTAGTGACCTGATGGAGGGGGTGAGCAAGACTCAACAGTCAGAAACAATGTTAAATATGAATACAAACTGTTTTAATATACATTATCCGATCCAATTAAAACTTCCCTTGGAATTTTTTAATCTTAATTTTGCAAATCAAGAAACAGGCTCAAAGGGGTTAAGAAACCTGCCCATTAAAAGGTCATGTCCATGGGCTTTCTGTTACATTACAGATGACTTTCCAGCTTCTAAGCTTGACTGAGAAGGGTGATGATGCCATGAAATAAGATGCAGAGAAGCGTAGGGACAGGTAGCTGAGATAATGAGTTTGTTTCAAGATGAGTTGAGTGTGAGGTCCCAGTGAGCCAAGAACAGGGATGTCTAGGAGCTAGGGCTGGGGACAGATGACACAGTCACTTGGAAAATGCCAAGTGAAGACCAAGGAACCCCTGAGACTACCAGAAGGCAGGAGAGAGGCATGGGGCACATTCTCCCTCATAACCCCCGGAAGAAACCACCCTTGCTGACATCTTGATTTGCACTTCTAGCCTCTGGGACTGTAAGACAATAAATTTCTGTTCTTTAAGCTACCCACTGTGTGATGCTTTATTATGGCAGCCCCAGGATATAAATATTGTATTTTATTAGTGACGCAGAAGGCACTTCAGGGGTTAAGGAGTTAAGCCATAGTATAGATCTAAAATCTGAGAAGGTTTCCAAGAAGTCTATTCCAGATGAGAAACTTATAAATTACTTAACTACATACTTCTATTACTATTTCTTAATTCAATAAACTCAAACGCAGTAGACCACTTTCTCCTTCAATATAAACACTCCTGGATTTAATACTTAGCCACAGGAATTCCCTTTGCCTATCTCCCTGAATCAACAGTGCTGCATTGGCACCAAGTTGGCAGAGGGCAGAGACTGTATATATTACTTTTATAGAACCATCTACAGTCTATAAGCAGGTAAGTAATTAATAGAAAACTTTTGGTGAAGATAAGATGACTGAAGAGGGACTCAAAATTCTTCGGCTAGATCCAGAATAACCATTCAAAAGCAGTATTTCCACCGCCTTCTTCATCCTAGCCCACCCCCTGCCGAATGATTGAGAAATCCACTTGAAGTTTAGTGGAACCTTGTCTGAGGATGCAAGGCTTATGAACAACATCTACGTTTAAACTGACCAACATTTTTAAAGGTAGAAACTTTTGGGTGATATATCAGGAACAATGTTCTTTCTAGGACTGATTGCATTCTGAGATCCTTTCTTTGAAATAGGACTTGCAACCACTAGGTAGAGTGACTAGATCAAAATTTGAGTAGGTGAAATTAAGACAGTCTGAAAGGCATGGAGGAAACCTAAGTGCTTATTGTTATTACGTGAAAGAAGCCGATCTTAAAAGGCTGTATACTATAGGATTCCAACTATATGACATTCTGGGTAAGGCAAAACTAGGCAGACAGTAAAAAGGTCACTGGTTGCCAGAGGTTAGGGGAGACGAAGGGATGAATAGGTGGAGCACAGAGTGAAACTACACAGTTATGATACTATCATGGTGGATCCGTGTCCTTGTACATTTGTCCAAACCTACAGTATGTACAACCCCAAGAGTGACCCCAGTGCGAACTATGGACTTCGGGCGATGATGTGTCAATGTAGGTTCATCAGTTGTTAAGAAATGTGCTACTCTGGTGGGGGTACTAATAACTGGGGAGGCTATGCTTGCATGGGGGCAGAGGGTTTATGGGAAATCCCTGTAGCATCTGTTCAATATTGCCACTTAAAATTAAAGTCTATTAAAAAAAAAGATAATCTACCCTGATATGGTCCTCTCGCTGAGACAGATCTTTCCCATTTTTCTGCGACCCTTAAAATGTCTCTGAGTCCCGTTTAATGCTGCTTCTGAAGGGACAGTAATGGTCTATCTTCTAGTCTCACTATGGCTCTTGCTACTAACAGCAGTGTTCAAACCCACTATGAAGCTCTAAGAACTTGGAGGATCTTTCTTTAATATGACAATGCAGACTGTTTACTGCCATTAATTAGCTTAACAGTTGGCAAACAAAATATATTTTTTGGAAAACACACACACACACACACACACACAGATTTAAAAGCAGAAGAGTCAATGAGCTGCTGATTTTTGTAAAATTACACATTGTTTCTCAGTAATGAAAACCTTTTTGATATATGCTTTCCACACTGCCATATTTTTAAGTCCAAATTTCATGGGCTGAATTATCAGAAATGTTAGAACAATATTAATACTAAAATCCATCCCTCCAGACAATAGATTGATTTCAGAAGCTATATGGCTTATACAAATCTTACTTGAGATCAGTAAAATATTTCGCTTGTATTCACTCTTTATCACTAACCCTTCATCAACACTTGCCGGTGAAGCATCAACAGTGACTGCTTGAGGCTTTGACCACTGGGTCTGACTTCAGAGTTTTGCTGGTCACACTAACTGGAGGCCACTGCAAACACCTGGGCCTCTGTCTCCTGCTCAGCCACCCAACATCTGACCAACCAGTCAGGAAGATGCTGGTGCCTGGCAGCTGCTCCCCCTCCCAGCGGGGCATTCCCAAGCACCTCATTTGGCACAAGGGCCAAATGCTTCCCCTCCCCTACCTTAACTGGCCTTGACTTTGCAACATTTCATCTGACAGATGGCTATTTTTCCTGGGAATTTATTTTTTCTAGTTACGGTAAGCTATCTTGGTCTTATGGTCCAAACAGCTAAATTTTCTAGGAGAATAGGTAAGTATTAGAGACAGACAGCTTCAGAGCATAAACCAATGCACTCTAATTTTTCAGTAGAAAAAGGGGCGAAGGAGATGGACACTAGAGAATGCTTTTAAGCTTGATCTCATTCTTTATAAATACAGTTACACATCTTGGGACAGCAGAACCTTGACATTCTGTTTAGCAGGGGGAGGGGGGCCCCCAAGGCAATGTAGTATCAAATTCATATTCCTAGCTGTCTGATTGAATACAATAAAAAATTAAGCTTCCAACGATAAACACTTCATTTAGAGTAGTATTGCCTTCTAGGGGCAGCAAGGGGAATGGTGATAGGGTGCTCCAATCATATTTGCAATGTTAATGAGAGCTTGTGGTTGGCTGTTTTTAAAAATATGTATTTTTTTAACATTTCTGGATGTCTAAAATAATCCAATTTTAGAAAAGGTTCCCAAACAGCTGATATTTTATCTCTACTAGCTTTGCATTGTTACTTCTACTTTTGGTAAATAAATGGCTATTTTGCATAAAGACAAGCAAGTTCCTTGTGAAAAATACACAACAGTAGAAAATCAAGGAAGCCTACAAGACTGTAATTAGCTAAAAGGTTATGACACTTCTACCATGTCTAATTATAAACTGAAGAAGAAATCTGACTCCTGGAGATTTTCAGACATACATACATGTTTTTTCTTTGAAAGATTATTAAATGATGGCTATAGACTTTTCTTCAAGAAGAAAATCCATACACACTACACTCTCATCCTGGAGAGACTGAGGTATATTTGTATGATCCTTTACAATCCATTAGGGGTTTTCACACATTATTTTATTTGACCAACATTAGCATCTTGGCATAGCTAATATTATTTTCCCTATCTTGTAGATGAGGAGGCTAACGATCAGAAACCTCAAGTGACTTTTCTCAGGTTTCCCAGCTAGTATATAACACTGACCCTTCTACTTTACCCCACTCCTGTCAAGATGGATACATTTCAGCGAGAGACAGAGGCAGCACAAAGCCACATGCGACTGATCCTTCACATGGTCCAATGCTGCCAGTTTTGTAGAAAGAATCAAATCAATGAACTCTCACCTGGCGATTCTGCAAGGTGCTCTTGTTTCTCTTCTCTGTCCTGAAACTGAATTAAATGTGACCACAAAGCTGACTTCCCCTGCAAGTACAAGGTTCATAAGGTTTTTCACTTTATAAAAAATATTTCATCAAAAGATAATTTCTCATTAAAATCATCCACACTGAAATGGCCACACTGAGGTGTGGAGACCTAAGCTCATCCACTCAGAGCTGGTGACATTCTGAGCGTCTGACTCCGTGGGTCATGAGGGTCGTCCTCCGCCTCACTGGGGAGCCTGGCGGCAGCCTGGGCAAGGGCGGCTCAGCCAAAGGCTGGAAGGACAGACATGAGAGTTTTGACTTCGGCGTGGCTGCTGCTCAGCTGTGTGTAATTAGGTCCGTCTACGCTGGCTAAAGGGCTCCAGCAGATGTACCTGGGTACCTCCATATACAAGCTGTCTGGATGTGTGAAATGGCCACGAGGGAAGAAAATGGGGCCAGAGGAGAAAGAGAAAGGCGGCGGAAGAAAGAAACACGAGCACAACAAAAAAATCAGGAACGGGACTAGAGGGACAAAAGCGAGAAACCACTTCTACCCTGAATAACTAGATAAGGAACTGCTAATTCCAGTTGACTGAGGTTTTTTTGTGGACAGGTGACAAAAGCAGACACTCGGTGGAGTCTACAGGGACACGCGTCTGCAGGGAATGTGCTGTGTATCCTGCCCTGTTCACCAGGAAGGCGTCCCAAACGCCTCCTAGTCATGGGTTATAGTTTTCTTTTTCAGGAATTAAAATGCCTGTGGTGCATTTCTAGTCATCCTGTGACGAAGGAAGGAACATACGCTTTAATTTTTAGGAACTATTTTTCCCCTTGCTACATCTGGCAGGGCCTCCTGACACTGTTACCTGCTTGACCTGCAGGCCGTGGCTCCAGATCCTTTCCAGCAGGTCGCAGAGGCTGGCGATCAAGGTGTTCTCCTCCAGGCCCGTTATGCTTGCCTCTCCATGGCCCAGCTCCACCGCTTCGTGTCCCATCTTCTCCACCAACATGCGTTTTGTCTGAAAACATCACGTGTCCACCAGTGTTATCCCAGCAGAGGAGCCGAACACCAGCAAGCGGGCCACGGGGTCAGGAGACCAGGCCCCTTCCTCATGCTTCTACGCACAGATTTTTAAGCACCTGGAGAAAATGCCTCAGTCTCTCTGGTCAGCTAACTGGGGTAATACCGTGTATGCTTCTGCTAGTCTGTCAGAGAAACAGGGAGTGACTACAGAGAGATTACGATCCTGTTTTAACCTATCCCCACGCAGATGCTCATACATGACGATTTTCAGGTTACTAACTTGAATACTAATGGGCAGTTATGCCCCATGTACTGTAAGAATCTGAAACCCCATACTGTCACCACAACCAGCCCCCAGAGCCCCCACATCTTAGCACACTAAAGATATTTACCCTGAATTTTGGTTGCACTTTGGCAAAAACCAAAATACAAACAGGGAGCTCTAAATTTTTCTAGAACTCCCTAATCTGTAAGTGAACCAGGCTTTTTTTCCCCTTCCTCTTACCCTCTTTTATCTCTTCTCTGCTCGGTGAGTAGGCACCAAAAAATGGAAAGGAAATGGAAATTAGTCTTAAATGAGCTACCTTATATGAGTCTTATCTGCTCTTATAAAATGTCAAGTAAGATAGAATCTAGTTCCTTTAGGCAGGGGTCTTGTCTGTCTGACTCGGCACCGTGTGATGCTGCTCAAAATGAGGCGTTTGTTGACTACGCAGGGAAGGTACTCAAGAACTGATTGTCGAATGAATGAAACTATTCGTTAAAATGATGTTCTGAGTTTTGTCAATTTGCATTGCTACTTCTGATAAACACAGGTGTCTGAAAGGGGACAGGTGTGTAATACAGACAAACCTACAACAGCTAAAGGCTTCATCCTTGTGAGTATACATAAACATGTATGAGGCACAGATGAGGTTCTACACAGGTGCACATAAAACACACACAAAAACATGTTGCTTTTCACATACAGTGACTACATCTCTGTCACAACCCTCTGACTGGCTTAGGATCTGTTCATCCTGGAAAGGAAGATGGCAATGGCTGAAATGGTGGGAGAAACTGACCCTGTTCCCACATCACTGACCCTGTAGGAGCCAGAGAAGCCGTGAGGTTTATGGCCTCTGTTCAGAGCTCATGAGGTTTATGCCCCAGAGAAAGTTTTCTTTTAGCGAAGCTACAGGCTCAAATGGGGCTGACTCAGCTTTTCTCACCCCTGCACGAGGAGTTTCACGGGAATTCACAGTCTCATATCAGTGAGTAATACGTACCTTCATTCTACATTCTTTTAATAAGCCTTCTACGAACTTCCAGTTGGTTTGTGCGATTACTGCAGGAGAGAGGTCTGACAATTTGGGTTGCCTCAGGTTTTTTCCTAAACTTCGTGCCTCTTGCATATATTTCTACAAGTTAAAGAGTATTTTTAATGCATAAATATTAGGTACCTTTCTGACCCTCTTAACCTTATGCAAACAAGTGCAGGAAGAGCAAGATGCAGAAAAAAGCCGTTAAGTATATATGTGCAATAGCAATTCAAATTTTAGCGCATCCAAAGGCAGAGGGTATTCATACCCCCCACCCCCCATTAACTGTACCCCTGTGAAAATGAGGTGGCAGAAACCCAATCAGGTGAAAACTCATTCAAAATGAGATGGAATTTCATCCAGTTTAGTTTTTTTAATTGGGAATATCCAAGGCTGTGATTAGTCAGGATCATGGTTGTGGTGAAAAAACTGGGGTGTCTGGATTAAAACCCAAGGTTCTGCAGGAACCCACTGACTCAGAGCACGGGATTCCCCCACTCCTCTCCCCACAGATCAAGGGCCTTAACATACACCTTGCCTCTGGGCATCTCTCTCCAACCCAAGCCTTTGCTGTAATAAGTCACAACACTAAAATCAAGGGTTCTAGAATAATTTCAATAAAGTTTTGTACCCTCAGGGATATTTGTTTGTTCATAAAATGGGCATAAAACATGCCCATCTACCTCACAAGAAACTATGAGAAAAGTATTCTGAAAAGTATCACATGCTCCGACGGCAGGAGACCTCTTCTGGGACGTGTTTGCTATGTACCTCCTTCGCCTTGTTTCATAACCCAGAGAAAATGGACACATCGTGTTACTCCTGGATTCAGCAGGACTCAGCCTACCACGGAAACCCAGCCCACCGCTCCTGAGCTTGGGTTGGCGAATTTCCAGGAAACACAATCCCCACACCTGATCAGAGCAGGACTCCTGCTGCCCCTCTTCTCTCTACACCACCTGCAAGACTCATCCAGACATCTTATGTCTGCATCAGGACCACAGCAGAGTCTCCAAAAAGCCCAAGTGTCTAAGGACCGTACTTAGAAAATAACCGCTCTGAGTTACATAGTAAAACTTGCAGTGTGTTGGGGGAGAGAGAGCAGGGCAAGCCAGCACTCCCACAGGCACATATGTGAGATCTATCTTTACTATCTCAAGGGGAGAATTTGGTATTTCAAGTGAAGATGTGTAAAATCCTTTGCATTCCTTAAATAAAAGGAAGTTTGTACATTGAATCTAGTTCCCCTTTGGAAGAAAAATAATCTGCTAAATCTGGTGCACATTTCTTAAGAAATCCCACTGATGAGGAATTCAACTGATGGGTTTACCTGCTATTTCCTAACCCTCCTGACAAAAGGCTGCAGTGCAAGCATTTTAAGGACAGGTTTGAAAATCAGACGAACTCTGTGCACATTTCGTTCCCCAACTCTCGTGTATACACCTCTGCTTCACATCTTTTTCAGACGGTTGGCGCAACAGTATGTGAGTATGAGAGGCAACTATCCTTCCTCATTGGGGAAACTGTGTAACAAGGTCTATGGAAACATCCTGAAGGTTAGTCCTCAAGCAGGAGGTGCAAAGTTTCAGGAAAACCAACCTGACACAGGGCAGGGATCCTACGTGAACATTAGGACATCTGCATTTCCTATCATCTCGGGTTGTCCTAATGTCATCTGGAATATTATAAATCAGATATAAAAGGCTGATAAAGACAGACGGTAACTGGTGGATGTTGATAGGTTCTGTTTCTCCCCCAGCTCAACTCTTCCACGCTTAGGACCTATGTCAATGCCGAGAGAACCATGTAAGACTCAATTCTCAAGAAGGTGTAAGTATCAAACTTGGAAGAAGCCTTGACATTTCTCTTTTTCTCAAACGTATGACTAAATATGTTTTTGAAAGTCAGTAACTGGATTAAAAATTAACAGTTTGAGGTTTATGCTCTGTTTTATAAATGAAAACAAGCTAGAACAGGGCTGTCCTTCGAGTGGCCGTATTCACCAAGCCCCCGGCACATACGGGCAGCCTAGCCACTAACCACCAGGTAAGGAATCGGGCCACAGGCAGTCTCCTGCCGAGGGGCTCTGCGGAAGCCACTCAACAGCGACATCCCGCGGACTTGCACAGAACCCGGGCGGGTGGGGTGGGGGGAGGGGAGGGGAGGGGGTGGGGCAGAAGCCCTTCCCCACAGCGGGGAGCGACGCTGCCTCTGCGCATTGCTGAAACAGAGCAGCACCTTCACAGTAAGCAAGTGGGGGTAACAACGTGGTTTTCTTTGGGGCAGCTGTAGGAAAGGGTGCTCTTCAAGATGAAAAATGGAGAAGAAAAAGAAACGTTCACAGGGAGTTTTTAGAATAAAGTTCATTTCACTACAGAGGCAAGTGACCCCAGATTTCTTCTGAGGTTTCCACTACGCTGTTGTTCATGTCTGTCAAAGTCAAAGTTACTCCTGCCTTCAGACGGGCAGTTGTTTAGTGCGCCCTGGTACCACTGGGCAGAGTACTAGTCCTGACCTGCACACCCAGCTCCGCCTCTGTGTGCCGTTTAGCTACGGGTCAGCCTCTTTGGACGTCAGTTAAAATCATGCCAGGTTGGACAAGGTGACCTCACACGTTCCTTTTAGCACTGAGATTCTATGCTGATTACCTGATTTCCTGATCATATAAAACAAAGACCAAGAATAAAGGAAATAACTAAATGTCAAACTAAACTTAAAGAAAAAAGAAAAAAAGATCAGGAAAGGTATATTAAAATGCTATGGAGATAAAATGCTTAAATAAAAGAGAGTTTAAATATTTTCCCTTTGGAAGAAAAACAATGTGGTAAATCTGGTCTCCCCCTACCTCTCAAAAAATACCACTGATTAACTAGGGATTCGAATGATCAGTTTACGTGCCAACAGCACAGGAGGACTCATGTTAGCACACTAGCACGGAAAGGTACCAAGCACAAGAGGAAGCAGACAGTAAACCAGAGAGGTGGAGCATTCACGTCAGGAGGTGATGTGAGGCGCTGCACACCGACGTGCACTCACACGTGGGCAATTCAAGGAACACCAAAGACAAGATTCAGGAACATCTATGTGCAAAGCGCTTTCGGGCCAAGAACATACCAGGCAGCACTCAGAGAAGGATTTTTTAGGAAGTCGTGCAGGAGGAGGTGGAACCTCATCCCACTCCCAGAACGCCATGGAGTTCTGACAGACCACAAGTCCCCGGGGAGGCTAGGAGGATGGCGGCGTGCCCATGACAGAGAAGCAAAAAAGAAACGGAGGGGGAGAAAGACAAGCAGAACGAGCATGCGTATGATGAAGTTGAAGCAAAGGGGGAGGGAGAAAAGAAGGTATCGGAGCAGAAACAGAAAGCACTGCCCGGGTAATGCTTCAGTTCTTAAGAAAACGTTTAAAATCATATGTATCTGTACAAATCAACAAAAAGCAACACATATTCAGAATGATGTGTTCTGCTTTATTTCTACACGTTGGAGTTTTGGAAAGAGTTAACAGATCTGCTGTTTGCATTTTTCTTTGGATCACAAGAAATAACCAAAACTTGTTTGTAATTATTCAAATGTGTAATTGTTGTTTTATTTTCAAGTAGTACAAATAAGGCATGAGGCTCTAATTTTAAAATAGGTTTAAAAATTTTTTTAAATGGTATTGGCAAGTCAAGGACAAAACACAGGCAAGTACACCTTCATTTACTAAGTTTGAATTATGCTTGAAACTTAGAAATGGCTATGCTTCTTGTAAACTTTTTGCTCTACAGGAGACATATTGCCCAAAAGTTTATCCTAAACTTAAGCCTCTATTTGATAAGGTACACAGGAAGGCTTGTTTAAGAGCCGATTTTAGATACGTTAAAATTTTTTTAATGCAGGGAAAAAAGGGTGTTTTCTGCTTTAAGTAAAAACAAAAGGATTACTATTTTAAAATATAACTGAATCTTTTTTTAAAAGAAGGCAGAAGAACCCCAAGCCCTACCCAATGACCCCTGCTGGCCGAGGGAGCCTAGCTCAGGTCTCTTGCATCAACGCATCCTGGGAAGGCGGCACGTACCTCCCGCAAGTCATTGTCCAGCCCGATGTGGTCGCAGTGCTGGCGGAGGCGATCCTTCCTGCGCTGCGTGGTGGCGCTGCGGCTGACCCAGCGGCTGCACAAGAGAGCCATTCCCGAGGTGGAGGTTAAGACAAACATACCAAAAAAAAGTGATCGCTCATTTTTAAAACAGAAAGAATGTACTGTTCAAAGCAAAAGACCAATAATACCCATTTTTCAATAAACTCTTTTTAAAATACATTAATAGCTTCATTGAAACATGACTTAAAATGCCATACACTTCACCCATTTAAATATTCAATTCAGTGTCTTTCAGTATATACAGACATGTGCAACCCTCACCACAATCGACACTTGAAAAACAAGTTAAAAATGCACAGCATCTCCCTATAAGGATCCTCTCCTTTCCCTTACCTGCCCGACAGAGCCCTGGGCCCTGGGTGAACATCGCCTCCCACCGCACTGTCCTCATAGCCAGGTAGATGAGTTCTTCATTTCCCTCATGACTACACCCAAATCACCGACCTGCCCTTTGTCAACGCCTCAGCCCCACAAAAATGATTCCTGAACTCCCACTGTGCCCTCAAGTGTCCCCCTCAGCGATTTCCTGCCCTGGCCTCCTCCTCCCTGCCGCCTACTTAAACGATGCATACCACAGACACCTGACCTTCCTTCCAATCCCAACGGACAAATTATATTGGCCACGGCTCAAAACTATTGATTCCACCCGCATCCCTGACCAATTCTCTCTTGCCTTTTTTAACCTACTGCATTAGTAGCCAACTTGGCTGTATCTTCATTTTTTCTCTCTGAGATTTCCCTTCAGCGTACAAGCTTCCTGCTCTCTCTCTTGACCCTCTATAGTTATATTTAAACCTCTTTCTTCAATCTTCTCATATAAACATTCTTAAAAACAGAGGTTTGGATGTAAGGGCTCTACTTAGTTACCTTCGGCTGTTCAGTTCATTCCAGAACAGCTTCTTCCCCTGAAAATGCTCTCCAAGATGATGTCATTTACACACCTGGCTGCCACTGCCAGTGGCGATTACCCAATTCCGAGCTTACACAAACTCTGCTGCATTGGTACTGCTGATGACTCAACCTTAAAACTCCAGCTATTTTCAACTGCCTCAGTGTTTCCAATGGGATAAGTTCTCTCACCTTGGGGTCTTTGTACACAAAGTTTTCTACAACTTCCATTCCTCTTTCAGATAGCTGAGATGCCACATGTAAAGTGTTCTATGATTCTTCTCAATCCAAACACTCCCCAATTGGAGTAGTTACCACAGCGTGTTTTAATTACTTACCTCTTTTCTATAAAGTTCTCTCTGCCATAAACGCTCGAAAGGTTGGTATCATGTCTGTCAACCACTACACTGGCAGAGTCTATTACATCACCTGCCTCTTCTAAAAATATACCCTAAATAAGCAGGGATGCAGTCTAACATTTAGGCTTATAGATGTTCATTATATCATATATGCAATAACAAATTCTGTGTGTGTCCTTATTCCAAGACCCACATTTTAGCTTTTTAAATGTTCCTGAAGTTAGGGGTATGTCTGCCACTCCATCTATATGTTTAACATATAATTTCCCCAAAAAGCTTTTGAGTTCAAGGAAATTTTTATAACCAACAGTTACTTAGAATGGAGTAAATTTGCTCACAACAACCTAGATGTTCAATAGAAGAGGATGCTATACAATGAAATATCATATGGTCATTAAGAAAAATCAAGTTACAGGATGGTAAATAATGGGAAAATTATACTATAATAATGAATGAAAAAGCAAGATACACATTGAACAATATTCTAATTAAAAAATAAGAAGTATGGACATGCACACATGCATATGCCCATGTTTATGTACAAACACACCAGGATCCACGGAACTGAAGAGCTTTAATACCAGATGTTAACATCTAATGGTGACAGCATTAGGGTTGGTTTTAGAATTTACACTGTCACTTCTAAATATTCTGAATTTTCTAATGAACATGTATTATTTGATTAAACTTTTAAAAAATGTCTCAGCTCTTGCGTTACCATCCCCGTGACTATTCATCACACTATTATTCTAACAATATTCACTCGGGTATATCCTTGACACCACAGACCTATACGCAATTTGAAAATGCATTTATACTTCTGCCATTCAGGAAAGGTTGTAATGCATTACTGACAGTTCATTATTAAAAAAATTTTTTTTATTAATGATGTATCCAGTTTACAAAAAGCTTAAAATGAGAAGGCTGCTTTTGTTGCTTTTTAAATAATTTATGCACACCTTAGGTTTCAAGCTTCTGAATCATCTCATTTCAGTCTGCTATTTAGAGGAACACTGAATAATTATGATAAAAATGGTAGCAAAGAAGGTAGTCCCTCTTAAAATAGTAAAAAAAAAAAAGAATAGGTCTATGATTGGGTAAAAAAAATGTGCAAAGATCAAGTAATAATGCGTCTTTATAGTAGAATCCCTGTAAATGTCCCTGTAGCAAAGGATCCCCGTAAGAGTGCAAAAAGAGACAAAAAGAATTGAGGTGATTAAAGAGGGAAACCCAGAAAAAAGCATCCTAGACATTGACAAAGATTTTTGCTTGATGAAACCTCCAGACTCCTGACCCTTCTCCGAGGCCCATCTGAGCACCTCCTTATAAATTCAATCTTAGCAAGAGTCTTGCTAAGTCAGTTTAGCAGGAGCCCCCCACCCCCTTGGGCACATGATCACGCTCGCATCTCATCCACCCCCCAGGTGATGTCTGATCACGTAGACCTTGTCTTCAGCAAGAATCCTTTGGTCCAGGCAGAATCTTCCCCTCACCTCTGATATTCATCTGAGTAGTTTTCTACCCACTGACCTCCACTCTGCTCACTGGTTATAAAGTCCTACATGCCCATGTGGTATCTGGAGTATAGCCGAATCTCTCCCTCCCACTGCAAGACCTCATTGCAGGGGTCCCTGCCCCCAAACCATGGCCCCCCTTGAATGAAG